ACCTGAATAAACAAAATAAGCACAGATTTTTAGAAATACACTTAGCTAATGGTGTCCCCTGATGTTCCATATGCACTATAAAAGAATCCACTAAAATTTATAATGGCTATTTAACAATGCTCATTTAATATACTGGTACTGAAGAACAGCTCTTGATAGCAAAATTGAAGAATGTATCAGAATGCTAAAGCTGTCACTTTAGTACAAATGAAGTTAAGTGTGATATTCTAAAGAAATGATGCTAGAGATGGCTGATTACAAGAGGGTGAGAGGTAAAGATAGAAAACAGCACTGAAATCTGACTTGTGTCCTCCATCTGATAATCCTGGGAACCAGCACATTTAACCTGATTTGTGTTTAACCTGATTTGTGTGTGTGTGTCGGGGTGTAGGAAAAGGAAGGTGAACAGTGAAACAATCAAATCTGATGGCTTGGAGTTATCAGAAGAATAATTAGGTGCATAAGCATTAGTTTTCCCTTTTTTTAGGAGTGTAAAAACATCTTTGGATGAGATAATGGGTTTCTCCTGGCCCCAGTGCAATAGAGGGAGGCCCTTCCCCATCATGGCATCTTCAATAGCTTGACTTTGAGAGTGACACCTCACCTAGCATGCAGATAAGCCTATCAACACTGTTGATCGATCAATGGAGCAACAAATGTCACTGCAAAGGCAAACCTGTGGGCCCCTCTGTCTGCCATCAATGCATTCCTCTGAATAGGATTCAAGGAGAACAGGCCTCACAGGCAATTCTACACCCAGTGCAAGATTGAAAAAGTCCTCTGGGGCCACAGAAAATGAGGTGAGTAATAGCTACAAAAGAATCCCCTCTTTAATAAGCCATGCCGGCTATAGGTAACATTATCATTATCCTATAACTTGGTATTTTCCACTTACAAATTTCCTTAGTATTTTGATTATGGTGATTATCTAAATAAAAACTAAACACAAAATACATACATTCTCAAAGGAAGATGACTAGGTTAATTTGAATGCAACCCTACTGCCTAGTTTGTGCTTCCCTAGGAGGATGTGGCTGTATCACTTGGACTTCTACCACAGTGACAGGATCACCTTGGGGTCCTATGAGCATTAGGTGAGGAAGTTTACACAAAGCACAAAGTAGTAGCACAATAAACATTAGCTATGTTATTACTGTTGTTTAATCCTGGGTGAGTCTCAACATAACCACACCTCCCCTAGGAAAATGGCAGAGAGAGGTGGGCAGGAGACAGGATGGGGAGGAAGAGCACTGATGCCATGCTGCTTATTTTAATAAGTGCAAACAATGGGATTTTTCCACCGGTCCAGCATCTTTTTAGCAATGGACTTGGCTCATATGTTGGAGTCAAATATCCCCTAAAGTCTAAATTGGCAAAATGATTTTTTAAAACAATGTAAAAAACGCAATATTAAAAAATAATTGCAGCTTCCTTAGCCAAATATGATTAAATTTTATACATAATGTCAACTGTAGAATGCACTTCAGTAAAATACAATTTTTTTCCCCCACAGACTTGGCTACAATGAAGTCAGGAATGCATGAAACAGCAGAACAGAAACTATCTGACGATAAAGAGGTTGAGGTGACAGCCAGGGCAGCAGTGTCACACCTTGGTGCTGGAGAACCAATTACCTCTGCCACTGATGTGCTCCTTCAACAAGAGGACTTGCTTTAAGGTTCTGATCAGGAAAAATTAGTGTCCTAATTTCAGCGAATCAAAGTTGTCTATTAAAATTTATAAGATAGAACTGTTTAACTATATTTTATACTGTAATAAAAAGTATGGATAACATATAAATCATTTAATGTACAGTTTATACTTTAGGGGGCTTAATTTCTGCTTCAAATGATGTTAGCCACAGCCATTATTTGTGGTATATTATCATATCGTAACAAATGACCTGCTTGACTTGAAAATTCTAAGTTGTGTGGCCCAAGAAAAGCTGTTACAGCAGGCGCTCCCAGTAACTGACTTGCGTTGGACAACTTCCTGGATTAAGCACTGCTCACCATCCTCTGTAAACCAATGGCCCTAGGCTAGCAGTCGATCTCTAGTGCGACACACATTTTCTGCTCCTATCAGCCGGACTTCATGCTGACAAAGAGTCCGCTGTGTCTTCCCAAACCTGTTTAAGGTCATTGACTTATTTTAATTATGAAATTTAATTATTATGCAAGCTGATAAAATGTAAGTCCAAAAGGTAAATGCTGCTTCTATAAAAACTAAGTTAAAGGATTTGTTAAGAGTTAGTAAAGGCAAGTCACTAAAAAGAAAGCTGTTGGATTAGATGTGGGCAAGACAGCTACAAAAAGTAAGAAAAAAAATTATGAAACCTAAGATTCTATACCCAGATTGCTTTGCTAGGGTCTATGCTTTTGCTCTTGTGGTTTATACTATTAATACGATATAGAATTGAAAAAAGTAGAATCATTGTCAAAGAAAAGATCCTGGCCTCACAAGAATTTGGCAAATATAATTTTGTATGTTTTAATGAAAATAAAATATTTCAGATATGCACTCTTTTTAACAATTTTCTGCTTTAATTGATATTTTTTTCACTTAACCAGTTCCAATTATGTTGGGGTAAGAGTATTTTCCATCCTTCAAATTAGTAACTACTGGATTAGTGGCTTTTAAATTTATGAGGGATTATGAATAAGCAGGATTACTCTGGAATCTAGGTGTTCAAATTTTTATTCCATACTTTTGAAAGATAAAATACTTGAAATAACATTCCCCTTCCCTTTAGTCTAACATAGCAGAGATCAGAGAACAGTGATTAAGGACAAGACTGCTCAGACAGCCTGGCTCCAGCATTTACTGGCTCCATGAGAGCACCTCTCTTAAGCACTTAAGCCCCATTTTGCTCACCTGGAAAACAGGATTAACAAAAGTACCTACCTGATGGATATCAGGAGGTTGAAATGAGAAAATGTGTCACAGCAAATGCTTAGCACAGTGCCTGGGACATAATAAGTGCTCATAAACATTCATTATTAATATTATTGTATTGTCTAATATGGAAAAAGTATCCACGGCTACATGAGTAAGATTATAATTAGTAAGTTCAACGCAATGTCAGCGTTAGTTACAGGTGGAAGCAAGATGGCATCCACCTAGAGACAACTCAGAAACACCTGTAGAAAATTTTCCCAGTTACAGTAAAGCAGGAGTTCTCAGCTAGGGGCAATTTTACCCCCTAAGGGACCTCTGGCAGGGCCTGGAGACATCTTAGGCTGTCATAACTGGGGGTATGGGGAGAACCTACTGGCATCTAGGGTGTGGAGGCCAGGGATGCTGCTGAACATCCCACAACGCACAGGACAGCCCTCCATCCCACCCCGACAAAGAATTATCTGGCCCCCAATGCCCAGCTGGCGAGAATAAGAAATCCCCCTAAAGGACAG